AACAAGTTTCCTGTTGAAGACAACTTCTGTGAATCTAATCAATAATCACATCACAAGTAATCAAAGTTAAGTTGTATTCAGGAAATCCATGAAAGCTGTGCTGATAGCAAAATCTGTTCCTTTGTTGGCTACAATTTCAATGTAATTTGGCACATATGTCTCACCTCGCATCGTGGTGAAACGAGCTCCAAGAGAGGTCCAATATAGAATATCGCACTCTTGAAATAAAAGAGTGTGGAACATTATATACATAATTTGGCATCATTGTAATCAAAGAAGATAAAAGCTTTTTGTTTTACGGAACGTCAAATCTAGAAGCGTCGGTTGATGGCAACGAAATATAAAACCGATCAAGCAATATCTGACTTTTCGGCAGCAATTGACCGTTAAATCGATCAAAACAAACATGTAGAGCCAAACGGATGTGCGTTCACCAAGAATGACCAAACTCGAATTTCTCCATACTTACTGTCAATACTACATTAAGAACTGATAACTATGGCCCGGAAAGATATTTTTCCTTTTTGTCAAAACGACATTGGGTAGTTACGAACCAGCGCTGGTCCGAAACTTTTTTTTCGAAAACGTTTTCATGCCATGAACCCCCATGGTGACAAAATCACTTACAGCAATTTGAACTTTCTTGAAAACACAAAGCCAGAATACTTAAGGTGAACATTCGTGCAACCCTATTCTGTTTACTAAGATTGCCGCGCCATTTATTCCTGTTCAAAGTTAAAGCGTGTAGTTTAAAAAGTTTGTTTGTATCATTGCTCGAGGCACCTCGAGTTTAGTGCTTTTGTTAAAGGCCTTCTAAGCATAAGAATGGCACTTAAGCTGCCTTTGACGCTTTTAGATCTTTTGTCGTATCTATCGTTATCCATTCACTCCGCCGATTAATTTAGCCGAAGCGATGTTGGCTTTTGGTTAGTTCTCGATGGGAGGAGCTAGCAAAGTGCTCTGCATCCTGTTATGTCATTGAAATCTCTCATTCATAGTCCACTAAGGCCTATAAAAATTCAAACGGCCGCGTATCGCAGACAATAGTGGGATTCAAGTCTAAAATTGCGTTTAATTCTTTGCCGCAAGTGTCGAGCTTCCCTGAGCAGTTTCGATCGTCGTTCGTTTTTGCAATAATTATTTTTCACCACACACTGTATACCATGATTTGAGTGAGACATCTTTGAGTCAAATTAAGAGCAACTTGTATATTAAAAAAGGACTCACATTAAAACACTACGTGATGAGCCGTTAGGTACCTAATAGGGCTAGGAAACACTGAGACGAAGCTTCTAATTGCCTTGACATTGTTCTGCTAACCCTCTTAATGGAATCTTAATCGTATATTCACTGAAGGTATTACCTCGTGAAAGAGTACTGTAAACATAACCTCAAAGGCTGTGTGCTGTAAAAAATCTAAAAAAAGAAAAGCCCGTAGAGTTAAATTAATGTGTTTTTCTTTCTTATCGTAGCGACGATACGTCTTGTTATGACACAAAGTTCGATCCACCTCATGCTCGTAGCAAATTCATGGTTTTGCCTCGGGGGTGCTCAGAAGCTCTAAACAATAGTCCATGAGACAAAAGCGCGAACAAAAAGATCGCAATAAAGCCTGCGGAGTGTTAATTGCTTTCCATTTTAAGCTTGAATGTTGACGAAATTTGACTGTGTATGTTAAATAATTTGAATACAACCCTTTGTTGTCCAATTTAGTGCGACTATAAACAAACTGAACCTTACTTCAGCCTCGAAATTCTCTTCTCCCTTGGACTCGCTTTCTTTCTCCGATTGCGTGAGTAAGGCAGCTGAACGGGCTACCAAGTTTCACCACTTTACAAATCACCATCTTTTAAAATATTAATATCTTGAAAGGTTTTCAACAATGCTTGTCAAAACAAGCCCTCGAGGCAAGTCGTCACTTTTCTACGGCTTAGACTCAACTGAAATTTATGTATCGCGATAGCTTATTGTAAAATAAATGATATATAGCTGACAGCTTTCTTGCGACATGGAACCTTGTAATGGGTTGCTCGAAGTTTTCAGGATTAAGGCTACCCTTGCTTTAAATTGCCATTAATTGAAGAGTTTAGTCAATTGTACTGAAGAGATGAAGCGAACAATTGTTTCCTTAACTAAGAAGTGACACGTTTTTGATGGCAAGATGTTGAGCAGCTATCGAGCGACAACTGAGAAAAAGAAAGCACTTCAGGTTAAGTGTTTGCTCCCGAAAGTACATCGGCCAACAAATTGTGTAAAAATTGGCCATGAACTTTTCGCTCCGTTGTTTTGAACAAGACCGAACGATCGACTTATCGTGTGTTTAGTTATATTTTTGGGAGGAGCGCCAAGCAATCTAAAGGGGATAGCATTTTAAACGCGAGTTGATAAAACCAATGTTGTTATCTTTTATGTTTTCTAGAATGTTTGGCGCCTTGTCTCTTTTGGTAATGACGGCTGATTTGCAATGAAATTACTCGAAATGATAAAAATGTGTCGAGCGAGCTATTAATCACAATGCACGGTCATTTGCATGTGTCACAGCATCGAATAGACGAAATAATAACTCGAAATTTCACCAAGTCCAAATCACTCCTATCAAAATAAAGATTTATCAACTGACTGAAGATGTGCGATTTATTGAAAGAAATGAGAGTAAAGTGAAAAACACTTCTAAGTTCAATTTAATTCCTTGAGATGAAGACACAACTTCAATAATTTCCGTAGGGCGCTCAAGATTCCTCTCTCTGTTTATATCATCTATTCCTAAAAGTACTCGACAATTGTCGTATATATTTTCGGTTTTTAATCTAAGAAATTTGACGAAGTTCAGGCCCTATCAGAAACGGGGAAACCGCCGTTACGATCAAACCCTTCTGTTAAAGTGGGTAACTGAGAGAAGAAATTTCCTGTGAATGGGCATATTCATTCCTATTCACAATTAATTGCTGTAAAAGCCCACAAAGCAGTCATAAACCGACCGTAAAACCAACGGTTTGCTACAGCTTGTCGAAGCCACTAAAAACCTATTAAGTGATGTATTTGTTGATAGTCCCCTCTGCCCCTCCTTCGGTAAATATAATTCTCGATAGTTCAAATTGACTAAGCTTTGGAGGAAAATATTTATTTATTTACTTGTTCTCACACAAATCGCGCTCCGGGCAAAACGTTTAATGCTACTCTCGCCGTTTCGATAAAAAAAAAATGCCGCACACAGAAATGACTCCACAAAGACAATTTACAGCCTCTTTTTGAGAGGAATTGTCTTTAAAAGCTTCACCGATTCAACTCTATTAAGTTGCGGATTTGGGAGGCAAGAGAGATGAATACCACATCAATTTGCAAATTACGAAACATGTTCTATTCAAGTCCTCGGAAACTCTATTTATTTGTCTAGATCAGACAAAGGTGTCTTTGCGCTTGAAATCAATTTCCTTTCTTCTGTGCGTTTGTCAGGCAAAAACGTCACGAAATCTTCTAAATGACTGGAAAATTTACGAAGTCCTACCGTGCTTACTAAATGCTCGCTGATTGCACCTTGATAGCTTTTTAAACAAAAGCGACGACGAGGTTGAAGCAATTCGCTGAGCCTTCTAGAGATTATCCTCTTTTTAAGTAAATAGATTTCTGATATTACCTTATGGGGCTATAAATATAAGAGATAGTTACTCTAATACTCGGTCTTAATGGGTCTTGAGATTATTTTTCTTTGTTTACCTTCCCATTTATCTGTGAAAAGGAAGGAATTAAAAAATAATATTGGATCTTCTCAGCTTTCGCGGATCGAATTTTTATTACTCAGATACTGTTAAAGGAATTGTCATTTATTTTTCCGCTATTGAGACCCATTCAAGTTCTTCTTTTCAACGAAAAAAGAAAAGAGTGAAGAGTAAGCATCGCGAAGGCTATTACAAACGTAAGTTAGAATTTTTTCCGAGAGGGTGTTGAAAACATTTTTTTTTCGACTATGCTAAATAAAGCAGGTAAGCCTATTGATTAGCGTCGGCTTTGAATTGCTGTTTGAGATCTTCAATCTGCAATTCATCAATCATGTCACTTCTTCTGTCAAGAAATAATGACTTAATATCGCTTAGGCGAAACAAGTTGGGCCAGAATGCAATCACCCAATTGCTTTTTACCTCATTAGCATCTCATGAAATTTTCCAGCTGTGGTCACTTAGGCCAATCAACAAGTCATCAAAAACGTTTGAGTGGAAACAACCTCAAATGGCAGAAGACCATTAGCAGTGCCTCGTAGGACTCCTTTCTCGACACCCCTTATCACCTACTTCTTGCGTGGCACTCTCTTATCGCCTGAAACTCTCGTTAAAAGCTCCCTGCTGCTCTTAATTATTTCATGCCTTATCGTTCACATCTTTTTACGACGGAACGTGTTATGTAAATTCAAACTGCTAACTCGCACGTTAGCGCGATATTAGGGGGCTGCGAGTCTTCGCGTGGTCTCTTGAAGTCATGGAGTCAGTTCGTGAGATTTCCTTTGACGATGGTTTGATTTTTGAATCTCGGAGTATGAAGTGTGATACATCGTTGGTGGGGCGTGATGAATGTTTGTTTTAAGTAGGCGTGAGGCCAATCAAATCCTTAACCGCACGGCTAAACGTTCCGTTTATGACATGGAGCAACAAATGGTCCACTTTAACTAAGAATGCCTTTAACAGAAAAGCCTTTCATGATTGTAGTTCGACACCAAGGAGGTAATTGTCGAATTGTTATCCCCTAGCCAATTGAAAAAGACAAAACATGAACACTTTTAGAATGACAACGTGTCTTGGACTAATTGATAGCGGCCAAAAGCCAATCACAAACAACTCTTATCAGTTTTCCTGGGCTTTTGTATACGAGGGGGAGGAGATGATTATTCGAGCTTTCTCGTGGTTCCATTAGTCGTCACCCTGGACCAATCACGGACGCGCATTTACATGTCAGACGTTTAACAAGTTTGACATTTTTATTCTTGATCATTATCACTGACTTAAATTGTCGCCTCGCATGCCCCAATGCATTCAAGCGAACACAAACGATCTTTGTTTGCCATTTCTTAAGCTTAGGAAATTTATACTACTTTAGTCTTGAATTATTTTCGTTGCGACACATTCAGGCGGAACTGTGTTTAGATATGGAGGAGAAGACTCGATCGAACCCGTTTTCGATTTCCAATATTTTGAACAACGGCAGCTCTAGAGAGAGTCACGGGAGAAAAGAGTTGGAGATAGCGACTGAGACGGGAGGAACACATGACAGACAGCGCGCTGAACTTACAAATAAAGAAGGTTGCGAAACTCGCCGGCCTGATGCAAGCCCTTCACACCTAAATAGAAGACTGGAGTACGACTTTGATGACTGGAGCAGGGCGTCCGTTGAAGGTTAGTAACTCACAACATGTGCGCTTCCGGTAAATGGGTTGTAAGCGAAGTAACAGCACTAGTAAACGAGCCCTATTTGGGCTCGAACGAGGGTCATCTAAAACCCCGATCTGCTGCGGAAATTCATGTGACAATTCTCTTACAGATTCATTGGATAAAGACGACCGATCCTCAGAAGGTGACAAGAAAGATATCAATAAGAAACGAAGGAAGAAGAAGACAAGAACGGTGTTCTCTCGAAGTCAAGTATATCAACTGGAGTCGACATTTGATATAAAAAGGTATCTTTCCTCTTCGGAACGAGCTGGCTTGGCCTCACAACTTCACCTAACGGAAACGCAAGTTAAAATATGGTTCCAGAACCGGCGGAACAAATGGAAGAGACAACTCGCTGCCGAAATGGAAGCAGCTAGTTTAGCTCAAGCGAGCCACCAAAGAATGGTACGTGTTCCTATTCTGTACAGGGAGCAAAGTCGTCCCAGTGAACTATCAACACACGCTCCGTACTCGTTTTACCATCCTTCATATCCGGGTTTAGCTCAGTATTCACAGCACTATTCACAATTTCTTCCTCCTCATCTAAGACCATCGCCGATGTCCTCTTTGCTATAACAGGTCTGCTACCGGAAAGGAAGAACAATGACGTAGACATGGAATGACTACTTTCTCTCCACATCGAATCAAACCGCAGACTAAAGTGGAAAAAGTCTTACCTTCCACAAGGACACTTAAGATTTTTTATTTCAAAATCTAGGCAATGCTATTTATCTCATAAAAATCATTTGTTTGATACCCGGTCTTAATATCGTAACCCTAGAACATCTCACGGGAATACCTTTGCTAAGAGCGGAGAGCGCTTCGGCCGGATATAGTTGTCGTCACTTAGTAAGGAAATTACATCAAAAACTTGTATTCCCCTCATTTAATCTAGTTTTTGTTAAGCGTTTCGAAACTAAAAGGCTTGAACTGAAGGGTCTTAGTTGCAAAGCACCATGGAGTGTTTACAGTTGTTATTTACACCTATTTATACAACACTAAAGGCGATTAGGGCTAAGAGATGAACCACTTTAGTTGTTGCACGGAATATTTAACGCAGAGTGGGGATCGAGAAGCATGTAATTTGCTTTCGATCCGCAGCAAATCATGTAAATTTTGTATATCGAATATCATTTGCGCAAATTTGTTCGAATTCGAAGAATTCCAAAAACTAGTGTAATTGCGGTGACATAGAACAAGAGAGGTAGGGAACCATTAACGACCCAAAGATCCTTTCGCTGAGAAGCATTTGTAGTTGATTATTTCAAACTCTCAAGAACAAAAAAGGTTAATGAATTTAGAGTTTGTGGGTCCAGATTGTAAAATACGTGCTAAATTGTAGTCAAATATTTACAATAAAAGAAAGAGTTTGTAAATTGCACACGAAGTGAGGGTGCTCATTGCCTTTGAAACGCTGCCAACTTTAAACTACTTCAAAACTTTGTTTTCTCTTAAAATATATCAGTTACAAACAACCTTATCAAGTTCTAAGAGGGCCTGACAGAACGATTGGAAAAGGAAATGTGTACCTTTGGCTGCTCATTTAAGAAAACGATCCGACAAGCGACGTTGCGATGCCTGAAAGTGTTAATGAATTACTTCACTCCTAGTAAAACTTAATCATTCCTTTTACTGAACTTTCGAAAGGTGCGAAAATGGCGTTGAGCTACTATTCACAAAGGAGTTACAGATTTACCATAACAAGGAACGGAGCAGTAATTCGTAATCGTTATCAGAAATTGTGAACAGACCGGAGAGCTCTCGCCCATTAATGTTTTTATCTGAAGATAAAAGAAAAAGCCTTTATCAGACTCCCTAAAGAGTGAGCGAAGTGTGAACGACTATACATCTTAGCATAACAGCACAGTTATAATTTCCTCGATTAAAGTAAATAATGCGGAGCATTCAAATTTCCACCAGCAAACGGAGAATTTTAAAACTTAAGTAAATTTTGTGAGAAAAACCTCCGTTTGGTCGTCCAGGAAATTGCGACCGACGACCTTATTTCTCGTCACATCCTCGCTAAATTAGCATCACTGAATTTACCATTTAAAAGCGATTTACTTTTTCTAACCGCATGGCATTTTAAACAGGTGAACTTGATGTTAGAAAGTCACTAGTCCCCTTTGGGTTTCGTCACGGGAGAAAAACAAACTTCGGGGCAGGTTCGATGACTTATAGAATTAGAGGGAGATATTATTAAAACTGTAAATAATACTGAATCTTATTGACTAAATTGAAAGCGAATGTCCTTCATAGGAAGGTCGACAACAAAATCGAGAAAAACAAGGAAATTCGCCTATCAAGCAATCAACAAAGACAATTAAATATTCATGGTAAAAGTGATGTTTAAGACACATTTTTAATGGTGTCATTATCCGCTCGGGATAGGGCGAAGCCCACAATCTCACCTCGGAAGAGTTGGAGATTCACCCCTGTGGGGATCATACGCATGCAGAAGTTATAAAAACGAGGTGATGGTCTCGAAGTAAATTTTTACAACATATTTGCCCGTGCTGAAATAATTCATGTTTCACGCGAGCTTAATATTGGACTGTTTGCACTTAGCGGAGGCCATGAATAAATAAAAGCCGCAATTTGGCATTGAACTATCTGCTTATCATTGGTAAAACAGGAAATTTTAGGTTAATGGAAAACATTTGCCTGCGCGCTAGGCGATATTTTAAGACGAATGGAGTACACTTTTGAGTGGAAAAGATAAGTTTGTGTGATAAACCGGTAACCCGCTGCCGGAGTTAAGCAGCGAATTGCTTTTAGTGTTGATAAAACCCAAATTGAATAAGGATGCTTCTTTTCCACGTGTCACAACAGCTACCAAACGTCCCAAAAGCCTGCTTTTGTAAACCAACAGCAAACCGAGGTAAACGGGCATATAGAGAGTCATTAAGGCACAAAAGAACAACCAACAATAGAAATGGGGCTAGGAATTAAAAGCTTTATTAAAACTTGTTGACTTTAAGTTCCTCTGCAAATGGTTGGCGAGGACATACAGCGATTTACTGCCAGACAAGACTAGAGTTACAATTTTTCCTAGAAAATTTCAGCTTGTTTGACTAAGTACTTAGCTTGCCGCTGATACCCAAATTGTTTATAATTATCAAATTTAAGAAGTTTTAAGAACGTTCCATGATTATTAAACAAAAAAAAAAACTTATTCAATCCGGCAGCTGTTAAGTATTGATAATTCAACCTCTCTTTTTGCAAAACTAATTTTATTGACGAGTAAATGGTGAAAAGCTGCCAACTCTTCTAAACACATAATGGCTAATTTATCTATGTCATTTGTTTAATTTGGTTGAAATTTTAAGGCAGGATTTTTAGAGGAGGAAGTTAAAAAAAAGGGCGGGAAAAAGCATGAAAAACGTCTGACCTTGAAAATTTGACAACTTTTATCGCAAGTTTAATGGTCACAATATCGTACCTCAGTGAGCGTGTATTGTGGCCTAGACTATTGTTTTCCCTCTCGTTTTCTTAATTTAATACGTTATCTTAGCAATTTCAATATTGTTTATACGTAAGGCATCACGAAATCTATTAAGCCTGTTTTCTGAGCAAGCCCTATTACTTAGCGTGAGGGGATTGGGTGATAGTTTCCTTTTATAGCGCGATGCTTTTTGTATAGCCTAAATTTCCAAAAAAAGCAGAAAGTAATTACTTTCATTGAATTCAAATTATCCCTTTTCAATTTTCTGTGGTCGTTTGCCAGCAGGGAGTATACTGATAATCTTGATAACGATGACATTCACGCGAAGTGGTGCGATTAATCAATTTAGAAGTACGATTGCCTAGCAACAACCACTGACTGAATCAGCCTTTCATAGATGTGGGCATCCAAACAAGTACATCTTATGTAGGATTTACCCTCTTACTTATGCTGGAATTATTTTTTTCATATAAATCATATGATTCAAAATACGAAAAGTGCATCATGCTGACCGAGGAGAGTTTCCGCCTATGATATTATAAAAGGAAGGCGTATTTGTTAAATTGACAATAACAGCCACCTAAAATTCGTGTGTTCCAAGGCCCCATTAGATATTCCGCCCCACACATTTAGCTATTGAGTGGGAAAACGTGACATAATTTTCGTAAGAAAAAAAAAAGAGGAATGTTTTATAAGCATCATAGAGCTGCCGCTAATGAATCGGAAATATGATTCGTAATACTTCTCTCTGGTCAGAATCGGTCGATACTGAGGCAAAAACACCTTGAAGCCGGCGAGAGGATGCGGCTGATCGAGATAAACTGATTCTTACTTGCCTAATTCATTGTTTTGAAAACAAAACACTGCTAATATAGGCAGCCCCTTTTCCGTTCGTGGTGCGCTTTTAAAAGCGTATCTCGGTCCTTTGTCGGATGCTTGGGTTGGGAATTGCTCGGAATAATTACACCAAGCATTTAACGCAATTCCTGATAAACAAAATGCCTTCCAGCTGAGCTGCGATTAGACGCAATCGAAGGCCGTTTTTCTTTTAGAATTGTCTTTCTGCTTGGGAGAGTGTTATCAGAGGAGATCAACAGAACACAAAGCAGCAAGGAGTATGGGTCATATTTTTTAAAGGATCAATATTTAAATGGAAATGATAGAAGCACCAAACGAGATTCTTCAAAAGAGATCATGATGATTACTGGTGGAAAGCAAATGACAATATTGTAATTTGTTGCTTTTCTGTTAATCGCTCAAACTAGAATTCAAATTGGCTGCTTTTAACTTGAGCAGGAAACTGATATTTGACCAAAAGAGTTTGAAAGCATTGAACGCTGAAAATATGAATTTGAAAATAAGTTCAAATGTAATGCTTCTTCATAGAAATCTTGCGGGTATGTTCAAGTTACTAAGTTCTTTTTCCCTGCCGTCTTTGAACAAGCAGGAATTTGAGTTCCTTTCAGCATTTTTCAGAGGATAATCAGCCAATTGAAAGGCTTTTTGCATGTGATCACGTTATATTTTAGAATTTTTTAAGCTCTAATAGTCCCTCCTTAATCGATTGCTAAATTAGTTGCGGGAATTCGCTTGATAGTAAACGGCGTTTGCAGTAATCTCAGTGAAAAGTAAAAAAAAGATCCCTCTTAAGTTCCAATGAATATTTTTTCTCGAAGTTTCGCCGGACATAGATCAGTATTGAAGTCTTGATATCATATTTATCACATTATTCCTGTCGCCGAGGTAATTGTCCGTGAAATGAGAATCGAAGTCTTTGTTTCACTTCAATTAAGACTTTATGGCGACAGAGTGCAGTCAAAAAAAATATAGCTGTGAGTTTGACGCAGTAAATTGGCGAGAGTGGGCAATTGACTTTGTGATTTTGTCAAATACACCATTCTAAGCATTTTTATTTTTTTTACACCTTTTAACATTGACAAAACGTTGGATCCTTGTCCAAACTGTTCAGATTAGACGCATTAGCCGCAGACGCTGTTCAAAGTAACAAAGAAAAGTTAATGAAGGATGGTAAAATAGGAGCCAGGGGTACGGAATTGCGAGCCATTTAATCTCGGAAGAAAAATGATGACTCATGTAATCACCTGAAGTGTCGCAACATCAATTTTCATTGAAAATTTTTTAAAAAAAACTGAGCAAATCTAACCCAATGTGGTTTCTGAAAAGATCTGTAGGAGGTTATTGGCATGCATAGAAGATTTTGAAGCTCACAATTAAGTCCAAAAAACGATGGGTTAAAAAAATCCAATGACTCAGGTAATTCAATAAAAGATTATTTTAAAGTACTGCCATTTCCACGCAAATCATCCCATCACATGTTTGTCATTCGGTTTGAGCTACATGCGCTTTATGGATCTGTGCCACTTATGCTGTCACTTAGAAAAATTGTAAGAGTTGCTTGTTAAAAAGATTTCTATAATGACTTATGAAGTTTAATATTGAACAAATTAGTCCAAATTTGTCAATAATATCGTCATAGTAAGCTATGTTATATTTATACGGGATAAGAAATCCAAAATTTTAATTATTTTGTGAAAGCAGCCTTATAAGAGTGAATTTATTGAATTAACCTCTAGAGTTGACTCAAATTCTTAAAAAACGATGAATCCAAATATAACAGCAAGGACCTACTTTAGTTTTCCAGCTTGCAGAACATTACAGTAGCATAACGAAGTTAAGACATCGATTATTTAGGAAAAGAAGAATAACTTTATGAAATAAAGAAATTTAGAGGCAAATTAGCAATAAAATTCTGCTCAGTTCAAAATATCACTAAAAATTCTGCTCAGTTCAAAATAGAAAGTGAATCTCTATTTTAAAAAAAAGGCTATGCAAGTGAGGTAGTTTTTTTGAAAGTAACTTTTAAACTGGTTTTGAAAAGAAGTAATACGATATTTCAAAGATATCAGATAT